CGATAATAACAAAAATCAGTTCGTGCATAATATACAAAGTAAAGTTAATGCTGATAAAAGAATATTAATAAAAATCATAAAAATTATAATAAAATTGAAGAGGATAAAAAATGAGACGATCGTTATCACAGCACTATTATTACTGCTGCTTACTACTACTGTTACTATTATTGCAATCTATTATTATTATTATTAGAGCTATTATTATTAATACTATCATTATTATAATTGCGTTCACTGCAAACACCAACTATTACCACTGCTACTTCTACTCCTACACTACTGTTACAATGCTGCTGACAATGATCCAGCTGCTGATGATGCTAATGATCGAAGTGGTAATAGCCATCATGGTAATGATGCTTATGATAGAACTCGATTCTTTAATACTCATATACTGTGCTAACATTATCAGTCGCTATATATTATAATATATAGAATCGCGCTTTTAAAAATATAAATACATTAGAAGTTTGTACCGGCAAAATTTCAATGTATTTACATAAAAGGTACGAATGTCAACTACATTGGTGACAACATCAATAATACATTGCAATAGCACACTATACGAGTACTGGAGAATTAAGCAATAACATAAGAGAGAAGCATTTACTACTGGTTCTTTGAGACTCCAACAATTTCTTTTCTTCGTTTTTTTTTTAAATATTGTATATATTGCCCGTGCTACTTGATGAGATTTCACCAAGGATTCAATTCTTTTGTAAGACGAAAGGAATTGTAGCCTCATGTCTAATTTAAGCAATCCGTGGCATCGCCGTTATGTCGATTATTCATCTCTTAATAACTTTCCTCAAATTCTTCAATACTTTAGAGAAAAAGACGAAAGGGAATTTAATCTCTTTCTAATCAATATTCTCTAAATTCGTTGAAGTGTTAAATTTTTAACAAGCCTACGTGTTAAGAATGTCTCTTCCTCTAATATATGTTTCTTCACTATTCACACAAACATCACGAATACGACATGAAAAATTCTCAGAGTTCAAGGATAGTGGTCGTCAGTACGACTGGCAGTATATCATATTTTTTTTGAAAGTTAACATTTTATCTCAACAGTGCCTGGACTTCTTTTAAAAATCAAGGCGTAATGGGCATGGCCACATTTATCTTTACTGAATAAATCTGGCAACGGTGGACTCCTGTGAATACTACTATTTATTTTCATGGGCTTTATCTTTATAACAAAGCTTTAACTGCAACGAAAGCAGAGAATATACAATCCTTTTCGTACGTTGCGATAATAGTAGTTTAGATTGCAGTTCGGTTGATCCAACATAATCTTTTTAAGCGTGAAAAGTCTCGACATTATTCATATAGCTTTTCACGCTTCACAAGCAATACCTTATATATCTAATGATTGAAAATTCGTCGTGAATAAAGTTAGATCATGATAAATTGTGCGATAGCTATTTAAACAACAGTTTCCTATATCGTCGCACAAACTTCATGATCTCGCCTTATCGACAAAACGACCAATATACATGGATTCTCCTTGTCGCAATACATACGAGCGACATAGTCATTGCATAAATCAGAATCGTGGATATCATCCTAATCGGTAAGTGATTCCGCTTCTTATTGTTCGAATAAACGGAGGACTTTACACCGCCGCTTGTTTTAGTCCTTTCGAATATGCTACATATGAAATTGTAATAATTGTAACTTTCCTTGGTTACTTGCACTCTTCTCTTTCCTTATGACATGATCAAGAAAACGTGCATCGTGCATTCTAGACATGTAGTATCGTTTACCACCGATGATCCAGATCCTGGGTACAGGAGAGATTACATATACATGAATATGAGAGAGATATATATATATATATATAGTATATATATATATATATATATATATATATATATATATATATATATATATATGAGTCCGTGTAAATTTTATCTCACTTCCCACAGATACAACCTTACTAATGGGATTCCTTAACGATACAGACATATCTTTTTGTAACTTGCATTTCGATTAACTAATATTCCACTCGACGACAGCACATATTTTTCTTGAGTCAAGTTATTTCAACATTACATGACAATTTAAAATGTCACTTTCTCAAGCTTTTTGTAGCAGTATCAATCAGCGCTGATTAACTTGTCGCCATTCTTAAATATGTTCATGTATATTCAATATTATTACTTAATAATGGAAATGCTTAATAAACATCTGTCCGATTGCGCAAAGACAGTAAGTTTATATTGTTAGAACTAAAGAACGGGAAAGGTGTATACATATAATGTTACCTTCCTACATGTTCTTTCTTTCAATATAGTACGAAACTCAGATTTTTAACTCATCTATTTAATTGCTAATCGATTATATAAGCACGTGAATTCGTAGATGAATGAATTCCATTGTGACACTGCCGTGCTGTATTTCTCGAGAAACAGAAAAGCACGTTAGTCTTTGCCCTTATTTTTCGACGACATTATATCAAAGGTTTAATCAAAGAAAGGTGTTTTTTTCCACAAAATAGAAGAGCAAATGTGTTCACCCTCACGAATATTCACGTTCACTCGTTTTGCTGATTCACTTCTTCCTTATTGTTATCACTGTCTTGTTGATTCACATTGGACTTGTTATTCCCAGGCTGTGTTCCAGAAGGACCATCGTTCATCTTATCGTTATGGTTGTCAGATTTGTCACTGGAATCCATTTTAACGTTTCCTAAAAAAAGAAAATGTAATTATGAATTATATCTTAATTCCATATAAGTATATAAGCAGGTTCTATCATATATTTGCATTTTGCAAACCTTGGGGTGAATAATATTGCTGCTGTATCTTCATATTACGTTGCTGCTGTTGTTGATGTAAATTCGGTCTATGGCGATTAATTTGAGTTTGTTGCTGCTGTTGCGTCGGCATACAAGCAGGCTGCTGTTGCGTAGGATTATTCGGGTTTGGACCTGGTGCAAATGGTACCACAGGTCGTTGTATTGGAGGTGGATAACGCTGTTGTGACGGTTGAATACCAGCTCGAGGTGGCATACCCATTCCACGTACATTCTGTTGTAAAACCTGTAGATTAATACATAAAGCTATATTGTCTTATTTTTCATCTGTAAAACAGATGAAAATTAATTTTGTTTTAATATTCTAAATATTTTTTCTTACAAAATGGAATTTTAAATATAAACTTATGTAAAATATTTAATTTAATGTAGACATAACATTTAGGTCTTCTTATTTTTTATGACAAAATTTACATATATATTATATAGAATAAAAGAGAGAAATTCTTTAATTATAAATATGCATATTATTTTATTACTAAGTCTATTATTTTATTTTTAATAATATTTAAAATATTTATGTATTTATACAAATTTATCTCTTTAAAATAATTAATATTTCTTGAAAGATACATATTCTAATTCTTGTATTAATTTTTTATTATTTAAAAAATAAGATAAATTTACATAAATACAAAATCTTGCAGTTTAATGTAAAATAATATGTGATATTATAATATATTCTTAATATGATATAAATGATATTTCATTATATTTCAATATTTCAAGAGATAAATCAAAAAACTGAAAATAAAATATTGTATCAAATATATAAAATGAATTGTTCAAACAACATTATTTTCTGACTTATAATATATTTTTAAAAACAATGTTCAAGATACTCATTATAATACACATGATGTAATATACTTTAAACATATATTAATTATTACATTATAGAAGAAGGCAATTCAAATTTTTCTTTATTGATTTAAAATAAAGTCTTAATAAATATTTATATAACACTCTTAAGCTTTAGATTCTCTTGAGATATTGTCATATAAAAATCTTGTATATGTTCAACTTGAAAGACATGCATAATATTTAAATGAAATAACTTTAATGAATGGTACATACGTAGTTATTGTAGCTGCTTACCAGAGCAGACTGACTAACGCCCTGATATTGTTGATACTTGTGATGTTGTGTAGGACTTGGTTGTGGTTGTTGTGATGAAGATTGCTGTTTGCAATTTCTTGATTTAGGTGATGGTATTTGAGGAGCTATAATTAAAACATTAATATAATTACATTATATTAAACAATTTTTATATAATACAGTTAAAAAAATATATATAATTTCTTTCATAATTTAAATAAAATTTTTAATAAGTTATTTGTTTATTTCAACTACTTTTTAAAATAACAAACTTACTTGAGCTAAAAACCGATGCAAGCACATCTTGCTGGTTTCCTGATGGACTCTTTAACTGTCTGGGCTGTTCTTGCGGTTGGTGCTTACTGAGAAATGTGGGAGCTGCATTTCCTGGACCTGGCAAACCACCAGTGGGATTGCGAAACTGTTGAGCTGCCGCGGCTATTTGTAATCCTGAACCGGATAAGAAGCTGGGACCATAATTTTGTAGACCGACAGGAGTTGCACTACCAGTTGCCAGACTTTGGCTATGCTGACCAAATCCTTGTAGACCATAATGAGTTCCAGTTTGTTGAGTAGCACCACCAGATTGATAGAAGCCTGTTTGCGATCCAGGAAATACATCTAAAAATATATTACAATATTAATGTTAAGAATATTTCATAAATCGATTTGCGCAATATGTAAATTCTTGATAAAATTCTTGTCATTTACCGGCAGATGTAGCGCTGTAATAACTGTTGGATGCTTGTACGTTTGGACCAGGTCTTTGTACTAATTGCGAATTACTCATGTAACTACCGCTAACACCGAGCACTTGATTTGGATCATATGGTATATAAGCCAACTGAAAAAAAAGATAACTTTTTATCAGTATATTTTATATTATTGGATTTGTTATAACAAAAAGGTAAAAGTTTATAATATAAAATCGCACTTGATTAGGTTGAGCAGACGGAGTCTGGAAATGCGGAGCTTTAGTTCCAATTGCCCCAATTGGTTGGGACGATGGTTTGACGCTCGCCGACATTAGAGAGTTTGATGATGAACTGATTAACACCGTATTTGGATTATTACTGAGCTGCTGATTTTGTCCGAAGGGCGGAGCAGCTGCCGCGGTCTAAGAGAAATTAATGATTGAACCAATTTCATTATAAATATGTGTTAGAACAGTAATAGATACTTTTAGATTGTAATATACTGCAAATAGTTCCATCCAGAAATTCATATGAGACGTTATAAAAAAAAATTAGAATTTACGTACAATACGATATTGAGACAAATTGCTTTGGTACATCTCTGGCGTGGGAGCATTCGGTGCATGAGGTGGCGGCGGTGGAGGTTGCTGCAAGTACACGTTTTGTTGGCTGAACGAGCTTTGGAGGGACGGAGCATATGGCGCATACTGCGTAAACGGTGATCGACTCTGATCCAATTGAAACGCTCCGTATAAACCGCCGGCTTGAGCTGGTAATTGTCCCGAGCCTGTATTGAATAACACCGCAGGCGGCGACGGTATAGCCGACATGCCACCGTATTGTGCCGCTTGTGAACCAGGATATTGCGGAAATTCCTGAAAACAAGAAAAGAGATCATTTCTTTTAATATTCAGTTCCTTATCAATCAATTTTTGAAATAACAAAATAATAACAGTAAGAATGCAACGCACCTGATAGTTAATATGCGAGGGTTGTCCCGTAGAATTGAACGGAGGTGGACTTAGGGGACCTTGGAGACTAACGGGAGGATGGCCAATAGGACTTTGACCAGCTCCGATCGGACTTGGTCCAGGCACAGTAGATCCTGGTTGTGTACCACTGCTTCCCGAAGACTGTTGCTGCGGCTTCACCTGCGGGGGAACCAGCTGCGCATCAGGCAAAGAGTCAGCGTTTTCCCACAAGGGACATTGTGTTTCAATATTTAATTGTTACATATATCACGTCAACAGATATTCTCGACTAGCATTCGTTAGTTTGAAAATCGTTTTTAAATCTTTGAAAATCTGGTGAAAATGAAATAGGTTTGTTACATCATAGTAATCATGCATTGCTTTATATTTAATAATAGAAAAGCCGTAATAATGATAGTGAATAATGATAATAGTAACAAATAACGGTAATATTACCTATAATAAATATGGTTATAACATATATTGATAATAAAAATAATCTATTAAATCGATATTGATTATTAACAAGTGGCTGACCGAGTAATCTTTTGGCTAAAGGTATAGCCACTTACCTTTTTCATTTTCACCACACTTACTAGATAAAATTTTTCAAACGAGAAAGAAAAGTAAAGCAATTAATGACAGTAACAATGCAAGTAACAAACATTGGAGAAACTTTAATAACGTGACTTCTATTACATGCATAATAACATGACATATGAAAAAGTATTTGCGAAATGATTTCTCACCTTGCACACATTTGTAGATGTTGTGATTTCATTTTTTATATTGCTCTGATTGTATTGTTGGTGAGGACTGTAACTATCATCGACGTCGCCGCTTTCGAACGCCTGTGGAAAGCTAGTAGCGCTACTGACTACACCAGTACCATCCTCGTGTTCGACCACCGTCGGCATTGGTGGCGCATTTTCCCAAACTTTCTTTACAGATGCGATTTTAAGATTGAGCTCCGCGGTCGACGGCGATATCGTGCTCTGGCCACCAGCCATATGCATGGAACGTGCCATGCCCAAACTCTTGCTCTTATCTTCCGTCAATTGTGAAAGATCAGAGTCAAAAGTGAAGTCCAATTTCATATCAGCATTGTCTTCGTTCTTGTTGAAAGACAAAGGCATTTGGATAGGTTCTTGATTCTTGTCTTTGATCAGATCGTTCGGTTTATTGGAAAACGCGACGGAAAGCGTTGGCTGCTGATGCTGCTGGACTTGACTGCCTTCCTCCTCCATTTCCGCACGCTTTTCGGCTCGTTGTTGCGTCTTGATATGATTCGAAAACTTCGATTTAACTGCCAGGTCCGTCGGTCCACTCGTTTTGGTAGTCTTCGAGTAATTCGTATTTTCGAAGATTAAAGTCTGTACGGGAGGCGAAGACACATCGGACACGTTCTTTTCCGTCAGAGTTTCCTTCAGATTTTTCCCCGTTTTCTCGCCGCTCGGAGAATTTCGTTGGCTGCTATGTCCAGAGTTGGCTTCGTTGCCTTCGTGACTGTGGTCATTCTGTGCCGTTAAACCAGACATCAATTGGATGTCGGTAGGAACCGCGGATGGAGAATTCGAACGCAACTGGCTTGTGAAAGGCTTATCCCAAGCGTTGACTGTTGGGGGAGGTGCAGGACTATTCGAAGAGTCCTTAGTGTAGTTATTGCCCGAGCTATTCAGTTTGTTCATATCGCTCGCATCGGTTACGCACATTTGTTGTTGCTGTTGTTGTTTCACTAAACGTTGGAAACGCGGCGCAAGTCTTGGATTTCGAGAATTTCGACTGTCATACTTCTGTGGGATGTTCGCCGGTTGAGGGATATTCTGTCCAAGTAAGGGTGGTATATTTTGCACTTGCTGCAAAACTTGCTGCGACCCGTTCGACTTCGATTTCGAACGATCACGTTCACGCTCCTTCTCCTTGTCTCTCTTAATAGGTTTCGCTTCCTCCTTCTGATTGTGCCTGGACTCTTTCACGTTTTTCTTTGAACGTACTTCTTGGAAACCGTCAGCGTCTACCTTATCTTCTACTGCAACATTTGTAGCATCTTCGGTACAGCTGTTTGTTTCGATCTCCGAGTCCATTAGCTTTTTGTCTTTCGTCTGAGACTTCTTGTTAAGATCATTCAGCGCTTGATTCACCAGATTCGGATCGCTGAGCTTGATCTCATCGATACGATTAACCATGCTATCTTTGTTATTTGGTTTATTTGTGACCGCGCCACTGTTAGTGGAGCTCTGACTTCTGGATCTTCCTCCGTTCTGTATTTGCGTATTTTGCATTAGAGGCGGTATGCCATCAGTATGATTCTTCTGAGTGCTAAATCCAGCATTCTGCAGATTCCGTTTTTCCGCTCCTGGGGCTCGCGACGTCGGATTGGAAGACTTGGGATTTTTCTCGCGTTGCTCTCTAGTATTTGCCGATTGCTCGCCTCTACGGGAATGCACGTTCGTGCCGATAGCATTCTGATTCACAGATTGAATAGCTCGCCCACCAAAATGCTTGTTGCGACTGTTACGAGACTCTTTATGATCATCTATGTGCTCCTCGCTATTTTCCGATGTGGTTTCCCAATCTTCGTTACCCACGTCTGACTGAGGCTGTTTCGACAGATTGCCGCTGCTGCCGCGTGAACGGGCTTCGCGGTTATCTCTTCCCTAAAATTAAAAAATTAAAAAAAAAAAAAAAAGATATAAGATACATTTATTTGATAAATTGTGACTAGTACAATAAATTAATTAATATAAAATATTAATTTCGAGCTTGAACTCTTCACTTGTTATTTATTTTATATTTTAGTACTTATTATTCCTTTTTTAAATTAATAAAAAATAAATAAAAAAATGTATTAATAAATTTAAAACTGTAGTGTCTGTATATAACAAAATGTGATTATACGTACTCTTCTACTTCCACTACGAGTTCTCTTAGAACGTGACTCTTCTTTTCGCATTTGTATTTTTTGGGATGGGACATTGGTGACTTGACTCGCATGATTCGTTTCTTGTTTGTTACCAGACTGAGGAGTTTGTTGACTCGGAGACTTATTACGTCTGCCCGTAATACCTAAAGTAAGTGCCTGTTGCTTCGCGATTATCTTGTCATCGGCGGATTCAACTGGCGCGGATTGCAATAGACTTGCTTCTTTTTCTGAAGTCGGAGTCGGCGGATTTTGCCGACCGGCATTTTGTTGCTGATGCTTCTCGTCCGTATTACGTTCCGACGAGAACGGACTCTTGCTGGATGGAGGCCCGTAGCCTTCCATGCGACTACCCGTAGCCGTATTCCGAATACGGAAACCGCCTCTGCCACGACGAGATGGCTCGCCTGATGGTGCAAAAGCCTCATGGCTGGGCTTTCCATCATACGTTCTTTTCTCGCTGCGTGCCTGAGGATACTCAGTACCTCGCTTGTCATCTCGCCTCGATACCTCGCGATTGCGCTCCTCCTTTTCAACCTTTTGTGACGGTTTTGGAGAGCGAGCCGATCGTTTATCTTCTTTTCCAGACTCGGTAGAGCCGGATATCTCATCAGCGCTGTTCTCGGAATCAGTGTGCCCATATGAACCGCTCTTAGTAGACATTCCAGATTTACCAGCGGATCGTGGTCCACCCCTTCGTCCTCTGGATTCCGGGCCACGCCAACCGCGAGTATAAACGCTGAAAGTTCCTCCCCACTGACGTCCACCGCGAGATTCTCGGATTCTAGAATTGGAGCCACTGCTACTCGTTCTATTGCGCGTACTCTTTTCTCTCTTCTCATCCTTAGCTTGCTCTTTGGCATCTTCCGTAACGGGTTCCTCTCTCTTCTCCAAGACGGACTTATCCAATAAGCTCTGTTTAATTTCATCGTTTTCCTTGCTATCTTTAACGACTTCAGCTATTTTTTCCTCTTCTTTTTCAAAAGTCGGTGATATCGCATCAGCCCATGCCTTCGGAGAATTATCACCTCTCTCAATTTGTCTACTTTCCGGAGTACGTTCCGTTTTCCTATTCCACACATCCGTATCCTTTTTCGTTTCTACGACATTTTCTTTCGGTTGATCTTTCTTTTCTTGAAGATCAGAACTACCTCTTTTCAGTTGAGTCAAACTGCGCTTCTCATTCTTCAATTCATCCGCTTCAATTTTCTCTTTAGTAACTGGACCAGGCGGTTGCCTTCTATCTCTCTCCCTTTCTCTAGTTTCTTCGTGATACAAATCTCGTTTCTTTTCCTCGTAATCTGATACTTCATTTACCCAAGAAGTACAGTCTCGTAATTTATGCAATTCATCATCGCGTAAAGACGTTTTCGATTCTCTGGAGGTGCGACTATCACGTGAGTCTGGTCTCTGCGGACGTTCGTTACGCTCCTCCTTCGGTGCATCACGACGATTTTCAAGTTGTCTGTCCTGTCCCACGTTGCGTTCTTCACGCCACTCCGGATTCTCAGAGCGCTCTCTTTGCTCGCGTTCTCGCTCGTCGAAAGAATCCTAAAAATAAAATTGAAATGTTTTCAAAATTAGTTACAGAATAATAATAACATAATCGAAATAATCCGATAAACATAAATATTAAATTTATCGCACACAAATTGACCTTGTTTCATATTTTTACCTTTGAGTAATTGTCATAATCCTTTTTGTCTTTGTCACGTACATCTCTCACATCTCGAGCATCACGGCTGGTAGGACGAGAATCTTTGACATCGCGACCGTCTCGATTGTCTCGAGTATCACGACTGTCACGGGTATCTCGGTTGTCCCGATTATCTTTCGAGTCTAAAATCTCCTTCGGGTCTCGTTCTTTATCATCAAAATGTCTCTCGCGTTCCCACGAATCGCGAGAATGCCTGTCATCATATTCATAATCTCTGAAATTACGGCTGTATTCGTCATAATAACCACCTGGTTTGCGACTATCGTAGGACCGATGCGAGGAATGCCGATAACGATCTTCTCTTGATGATGGTGCACCACCGCGATGGTCTCGTGACGGAGGTCTTTCATCATCCAATGGTGCCGATGCATCCGAATCGGTTCTGCTACGTCGTTGTGATGGCAAAGATTGCTTCATACCACTATCTACTAATACAAGTTCCATTTAGTATGCAGTTTTATAATGCAGTTTTTTAATATTTTAGTACAATAAAATAGTGATTGAATAAACTTTCTAAAAATATTATATTAATAATCATTTATATTTAAAATCAAATGTTAGCCAACATCAAATTTTTTAACCAAACTAAGAATTCATATATTTTATACAATTCACAATATTATATTTTATGCAAATTAATAATTAATTATGAAAAGACTAACGCGTGAGAATGTAATCATATACACCTCGTTTTTGAGATTCAATAAATAAAAATGATAAGTAAAAGAATATGAAATAAATGTAACACATTGGAATATTTAAATATAAGAATTGTTATCATATTCACTTTATATTATATGCTGTTAAAATAGTAAAAAATTATAATAATTATTTTTGTTACAATAAAAATGTTATCATTAAAATAATTCTAATAGTAAAGTAACCTATAAAAACTTACTCAATGAATTGTAATTATGAAGCCATCTACCAGGATCGTATTGTTGAGAGAACGGCACAGACTGAGAAGCAGGCCTTTCCGCATTCGGTGAAATCCGATTAAAATTCGCACTACTTCTCTCTGCCTGCTGCTTTTGAAACCTAGGGGGCAAATTATTTTGAAAGTGTCGAGAGAACGCCGGTTGTTCGCGATCTCTCGAGTCTCTTTGATCACGATCGCGATCGCGTTCCCTTTCGCGTTCGCTACGCACTGTATCTTGCTGTCGTAAGAAAGACTGTCGATCGCTCTGACGAAAGTCCGTCAGTCCTTGATCTCTGCCTTCTCTTAAATTGTCGCGAGTGTCACGACAGATACTTATATTTGCCATAATCTTCTCATCTTTTCCTTCGGACGAAGTACGAGAACGTTCTCTTTCTCTGCTTTCGCGTTCCCTGTTCTCCTTCTCCCTCTCCCACTCGGGTATAGGAAGAGGTACAGGCGGAACACTGATCAAGCTTTTGGACTCGCCAGATTGCGCGCGTTCCTCATCCTTATGTTTCGCCTGCTTCTCTTTCATCTTTTGTTCCAAGTCTTGTAATTTCTTAGCTGCCGCTTGCTTCGTTGATTCTTGGAAACGTTTCTCCTCTTCTTCCTTGCGTAAACGTGCACGCTCGACAACGGACGCAACTTCGACTTTAATTCTACGTCTTTCGTTCCACGTCTCGTCGTCCTCGACACCTGTTTATAACATAGACAAATGAATTAGATGTAACTTAAATAAATCGTTGCACTTTGTATTTTGTAATTTTCTAATAAAAGTATCATTACCTCTCAAAGAATGTACAGAGTGCAATTGCGATTGACTGGCGTAGCCAGCACTTGCACCATTCGATCCACGATAATCACGATTCATAGGTTGAGTCCAAGGACGATGCGGCGGATCGCGGAGTTCCTTCGAGTCTCGATTATCTCGAGGTTTCTCCTTTTCTTCTGCAATGTTATCATCGCCCTTTTTCTCTTTAATATCTTTTTTCTCATCATTTTTCGATGATTCTGGTTCAGGTTCGTCATCGCTAAAGGCCAATTTTTGGTTATAATCAATATCATCGTGCGCAGCCCATCCTGCATCACGGGAAATATCATCCATACGAGTAAGGTCTTCCTCCTTGATGATGGGTCTAGTCAGAATTTCTTCCTCAGCCACGCGTTCGCGTTGAGGAGGTGGGAATCGATCCAAAGGATGATTAAATCTAGGTCGAGGAGTGTTGGATCCAGAATTTGATGTAATATGCGAAGAAAATCCAGCAGGAAAATTTGATCTATACATCTAAAAAAATGTACAACACATTTTGTTACGCAAGTCCAAAAGAAAAGATCTATATAAAATTGGATTTGTAATAATAAACTCACAAATGGCGGGATAATTCCCCGATAGTGATGCATGTTTGGCCCAATCTGGGAACTGGAAGAAGGCGCAGAACCTTGATTGTTTACAGAATTATGCTGGCCTCCCGGGCCCGCGCCCATGTTGGGCGATTGGCCCAAGTTCTGCCGCCCTCCACCGGGTCCCTCCTGGGTATGTCCTCCTGAAACAGGTATATTTAAAGGGAGGCCCTGGCCCGCCGGAGTATTCCCATTTCCTGGACCAGCTGATGTTACTGGTACTGCGCCACTTGCCGTACGACTTCCGCCTTGAATCCAACTTCCTTCGGCTACAAAGATTCAGTTGCAGATAATCTATATACTATAGATTACATTATACTAGAAATATTAAAATAAAGAAAAAAACTCACTCTGCGGACGCAAGCTTGGACCTGGACCATATTGCGCATTTAACTCTCGATTCGATTGCTGTTGATTTCCCGGTATTCCACCTATGTAATTTATTTATTGTATTAGAGGCAAAAATAAATAAATAATTATACATTGCCTACAATTCCGATGCGCTTATGATACATAATAACAGTAATATCAACTGATGAAAGAATGAAGATTTAGCAAGATAATAGTATGATAGACAAAATACATGCTCGCACACAATTGTGCATAAAACTTTTTCACGTATATATAACATGCTTTACAGAGATAGTGTCAAGAATCTAACAAAAAAAAGTAATACAAAAGATAAAATATCTAATTATTCACATAATTTCAGCTAAAATAAATGTAAAAATAAATGTAAATAACACGACTCGATAGAACTAGTATCAATTTCATATTACATAAGCATATAATAATCTTAGTTACAATATATATATATTTGCGCGCGCGCGCGCGCGTGTGTGTAAATACAAACATAATTAAGAAGTTTTTACAAATACTTCGAATTAAATTTATATATCTTTTCTATTTATCTCTCCCATATATATTGTAATATAATTAAAAACTTTTAATTATTTTATAATATATAAAATAATATTATAACATATATGCCTTTAAGATCGATCAAATAATATTTATAAATATTTTAAGTTTTATTTTTACTTTGAATATATTCCGCCCATAAATTGAATATATTTCCGCCATATAAATCTAAATTATAATAATTCTGTTATAATTATATATATAATAATGTTTGCAAATAATGTAATATTGTTTAAATCATATTTCTGCATATAAACGCATATAAACTTATTCAAGAAAAATGTTAAGCAAATGTAAATATTTTGTACAACAGAATATAATGTCATAATATAATGCATTTTATGGTGCAATTTTAAAAATATGAAGAATTGAGAGTAGGATAACCCAAGCTGTTAAAAAAAAGATTCATTGAATTAAAAGGACAAAAACTATACGTCTCTTAACATTATGTACCTATCTCGATTGCTTATGCATATTCTTCTTTTTAATTAAGATAATAAATTATAAAGAATGACATATGAGATTTGGTACATATTGTAGTGCTATCTAATTTTCTACAAACGTATATAATGCAAATTAACATTTATATAATCAATATATTCTAATCCTAATACTATATCTAAAATTTTAATGTAATTAATGCACACTTAAATATTTTTTTTAATATAGTCATGAATTATATCTTTACTACTATCAATAACGTTAAATATATGAACTATTCCACAAAGAAAAAATTATATATAAATAAATAAAAAATTAGTTTTATGTAGAAATTTTTATTTTTAAGATATATATATATTAGTCAAATATCTTATTAAAGTTTCAAAAATATAACAAAGTATAAGATATTTTTTTTAAATATTTATATATACATATATATATAGTTAAAATAATTTTCAAATTTCTTTCGTGGAATAGCGAATAATATAGAAATAGGAATAAAAGTTAGATACAATTTATATAAAAATTCATTTACTAAATAATAAATATATTTCTCTTAAGTAAAGATTACTGTAGAATAAGAATCTTGAAAGATGATATAATATCGTTGCAATTAAGATAAAAAATTATTTTTATTTAATTTCTAAATATATTTTTATAATTTTATCAATATGTCACTATTTGTATACTGTTTCTAGAAAAATACTTTAATCACAAAATTTCGTAAGATATCACCGACAAAAAAGATATTAATAAGATAAACAAACTGTATTCTTACATGATTTTCGTTATATAATTCAACATTTCAAAGTTAAAGATTATCTTTTGATCTTTTTAATACGTTTAATACGTATATTTTATCATCACTATCTATTAAAACATATGCAAATGGGTAGTCTTCATGAAACATCCAATGTGTAAACTACTTCTTAAAGCACGATTTACTAGATCCACTATTGGCCTGATATAAAATCAAGAATTCGTATGCAATGCGCATTCTTGTACATATCTGCTGCAATTTTCATGATCAACAGATTTATTTACATTAATGTACGCAGCTTCCATCTTGCTCATAATCGAATAAATTTAATTGAAACGCAATGTTAAAAAAAAAGCCATCATGGGGAGAAGCACAGAGAGCACTACTGACAAAGAGACAAAAACTTGAATCTAACAGCAACAGGCAAGCAGTACCCCACCTGAGTGGTTGTGGGAATACGGCTGTTGCTGTAGTAACGAGTGATGGACCGCGACTGAAATTGCATTGGATGTTGTTGAGGACTGTTGAGTCTGGCTCTGAGTGGAGACGGAGGCGGACGGCTGTCCACTGAGACTGGGAAACTCGTGTTGGAACTGCGGGGACTGGTGGGCGAGGAAACTTAGTCCAAGGGCACCTCTTCCCCCTTTCGCGCCCCCCACGAGCCCCGCGTAACCAACCACTGCTGCCACAATGGGCGTACCTATCAATTAATTGCACCACCCAAACGACACCACTCCGCTTATACTTATACTCATGCCCAACGTCCAGAAATGGATATTAAAAGGATAAAGACTACATATCGCAAATATTAGATGGACAAGAGCAGTTACTGTTACATCCCGCATATATCATAACACATTATCTTAAAATTTAGTAAAGTCCTTTATCAATCCAACTCTGGACATCTGTCCAATGTTTCATGATATGTTACGTGCGTTTATATTACAATAATTTGCTTCAAATAAATACTATATATGGAGCATCATTATGATAATATACCAACGTTATATATTAATATATATATAATGAATTCATATTGTGTAAATAGTATAATGTATCAATTACATTAACTCTCAACTGTCTGATGTTATCGATCAGAACACATAGAATTAATATATAACTATATATATAATATATATTAATTTATATATAACCAATAATTATAATATATACAGAAATAATTTTACACACGCCGCTCCGCCTACGTTCTTACACACTCCCTTTTCGTAGAGGGAGACGGCAACAGATACCTACATGTGAAAAAGTAAAACCTTTCTCTATCTTGCAATCGCGATTAATCTTGTATTATTAGAAATTTTTAAAAAACTTTTAAAACCTTTTAAATATTATTTCACTTTAAGCATACACGCTTGCTTTTGAATAATTACAAATGTATTAATGGAACGGAAAATGTGAAAAATAAGAAAAAAATTAAGTAATTTAAAGTCCTCAATATCTTATATTAATTGATATTACGCATATATGCTAATAATGCTAACATATGTTTCTGCACATACCGTCTCCTGATCTGCTCATGATCGCGCTCCATGATGATTTGTTGTTTGCTTGATCCAAAAAAGAAGCTTGTGACGCATTTTGTTGTGTCGGCAGTAAAGAATGTAGGGATGTTGAAACAGTGGTCCCTGCTGCGCATTGTGCTGTTGAAGAAACAGTCTGCAAAGAAACATTTTAAATTTACTATATATCTTAAATTTTTTTAATATAATATATAATAAATAAAATAGAACATCTTTTTGGCATATTATTATTTTTATTATCATAAGGCGTTCACAGAAATATAGAGAATATAATAATTGTTTTTCTCTCATATAATCATCAGAATTAATCTATATGATAAATAGAAGCAGTAAGAAAAAGAAAAATATGATAAATTAGAATATGAAATAATGAAATGTTAATATTAACTATAATTATTACTAATTATTACTAATGATTTTATAAAGAAAACAATTGAATGATAACTTACAGTAGTATTATCTAGTGAAGTTGCTACTGTGGTGGTAGTAGTAGTGATCGACGATGTCGAATCCTTAGTAGTAGCCCAACCACTTCCTCCACTTGGCACAAGACTGACAGCTGGATCACTGCTGCTGGTTTCACTTTTTAAACTGGGCAAATTAGCTGGAGGACGCCGTGCCGAAGGCACCTTTCCAAGACTTTGCATTCCATGTTTGCGAGGTAATGTATTTTTTTGTTGATGTGGCTCCAAAGATTCACCCTATGTGAAAATATCAGTTAGAAATATTTAGCTAGTAAATTGCTTTGCACTAAATAATAACTTGCAGTAAACAATAACTTTTCTTTTAATGACAAAAATATAAAATAATATTAATTTATACAGATAAATATTAAAATTTGTTCAAATACTGTTTTATTTATACATATAACAATCGTCATATATTGATGTAATATTAAAATATTGATGTAATATTGATAAAAGACTGATAAAATGAAGAATAATTATTTCGAATTTAGTTTTATTAAAGTTTTATTTGGTTTTATCTAATTATCTAAATTTTAAGATAAGAGATATTTGTAAACAAAAGCATCTCTCGGAAGATTAATAAGAAAAAGTAATAAAATGTTGGCCAACTCACCCTACTCACCCGGTACAAGCTATTGATATCTAATGATTGAAACTTGGATTTTCCTTTCTCCCCCTTCGACACAATCCCTGACAGAGTAGACATGCTGTCTGCACGCAACCATTTAGTACCAATCAGACCCAAAAGAACGAACCCTTTGTCTGTAAAGACAAAATTATTTAAACGTTCCTTTCTCACTATTAATGTCTCAATTATTCATAAACTGTTTTTATCTTTATTTTCTTTAAACTAATAATAATTCAATTGTAATCTGAAAAAAATCACATTTAAAAGAATTGCAGTTAGAGACATATGCAGTTAATCTAACTATACCTAAAAGATTTTTCTTGGATCATATCTTTCAAATTTAAATAGATATTCATATTAGGATACATTCCATTTGGCATTTACAACGTTGATGGCATCATTTGTCTTTGTTTAATATTCAGTAACAGCAAAGACAAAATGATTCTAAGCGTTGTCAAATAGAATGCACTTTATATAATACTATGTTTAACGATAAAAAAAAATTTAAAAAGCTATCAGACATATATGTCCATTCTACAGTGTTTATTCGGCACAATCAAGAGAAAATTACATGTTGTAACACGTGATATATAACGTAATAATCGTGATACCTTGAGTCCTTTATCAAAGAGCTCTTAAATGCCTACCTATCAACTTCCTAGCAGCGCAACGTCACCGATTCGCCTCGGCAATGCGCGAGAGTGGCGTGGAGGAGTTTGTAAAGCGTATCCGAGTGTCCCGCACATCGGCGGAAGAAACGGCAGAGGCGGCGCGATCCGAGGGAAAGCTTTTGTCTGTAGCGGCGATAAAAACGACGCAAAGTAAAAGCGACGAAAATAACTCGACTTATTGCCTCGTACGAATCTGTACCCCCGTGCTCGGCGGGGGCAGCCGCGAGGAGTAGGTGCGGGCCCTTGGGCCGTGTGCGTCGCGACGTCAAGGATCGACGCGACGGCTCAAAACAACGGGACGTTCAACGTGTCGCGATCAGTCGGCTCGTCGAGTCGCACGATGTTTTGGGATCTCGAGTTTTCACCACGCACTGAACCGTCGACGGTTTCGCCGCGATAACGGTACCCTGTGTCGAAGAAAGCGAAGATGCTGGCGGGACGAACGGGGGGTACAGGCAAAAGAGAGGCGAGGGAGAAAAGAAGGGAGGGAGGGAGCGGAAGGAGAGAAGAGAAAGAGAGGTGTCGGATACAGCGGAGGCTATCCACATAGAAAGGACTTCGCGGTGACGGTGGGCGACGATGATGGATCCCGGGGAAAAAATACGTACTTACCTTGGTCCGTCCAAATGGGTTACCAATTCACAACAGGGTTAACTCCCAGTGAAATTAGATTAATGCGCGGATCGCCACGGATTACCACCTACGACGACGACGGCACCGCGCCTAGCTGGAGGACGCAGAGTACTCTTTTTCTACCAATTCGTCCCAAGATGGCGAATGCGCGACTCTCTCGGGCCCTTCCTCCGCCGCGATCAATACAATTACGTCACGCTCGCCGAGGAGAACGCCGTTCTCACAGACGCGCAACTCGTCGGCGGGTTCCCGTCCCGCTGCCCGCACACGACAGCAACGCGCACAAGAATTCACACTTCGCGATTACGAATCAATTCCGTGGTCCACGATGACGTGCATCAAACTGCGCGATGCGTAGGTTACAGCTTTGCGGAAACGGAGCGTGCCCCGGGGAAAATCACGGAATCGCTATTTCCGCTACGCCACTGTCTACGTTGTGCGTGCGGCAGGAAAGTAAACGCACGCAACGGAAAGCGGAAGACAACTCCCGCGCCTCGTGGCCACCAGGTGGCGCTGCTTGGCGCGAATTCTTTTCCCATACCGCCGGGATCAAGCGCGCGATGCCGCGCTATATTCAAAAACTTTCGGACACGAGGAAGAAATAAAAAAGAAAACAAAGAAATGTAAAGAATTAGGAATAAAAAAATTTTAATAAAAAATAAATTAATAAAAAGACACATTAGTATTTCCTTGATCGTGAATTGAAATAATCTCCTATATATAGAAATTAATTCTCTACGTTTAACTTTTACTTTCTTAACTTTTCGATTATATTTGAAATTCTTATTTTTTTGTCAAAGCAAACGGGAATTCTTATTGCTTACAATTTCCTGACATTTCACGAAAACGCAAATATTCTTGTATATATTTTCTTTCAAGTTCGTGGAAATCTTTCCGAGTTTCGTCAACTTCTAATATATTGTTTTGACCCAATATTATGATAATTAATATTATAAAATAATATAGAAATAATAATATAGAAATAATATAGATATAATATTTTGTAATATCAATCTTTTTCTCTCTCTCTCTCTCTCTCACACACACCACACACACACACACACACACATACACACTCTCTTTGGTGGTCAATGATCATACGGATGCTATTTGACTTCGGAATAGAAAACGCGCGTCGCGAGTGCAATCTATAATTACACTTTCTGCACTTCCACTTCTCTCTCGTTTGAACATGCGAAAACATTGAGAAAAGTGCTGCATGTTCTGGAAAGAAGCCTCGTATATTATGAGGCGTAATCTTCAAAACGGTGAAATTATTTTCAATTGATTTTTCTTTTTTCAATCGAATACAAAGTACATTGTGAAAACATACTATGAAAAATGGTGAATATATTATTTATAGCATCTCCGCTTGTTTGTATTCGCATGATTATTGATGTCATCTCTTTTTTTTTTTTAGAGCGTTACATTACATACGGACGTTGGTGACATCAAAATAGAATTATTTTGCGAAATGTGCCCGAAAACATGCGAGGTATAGTTCGGTTTCCATATGTAGTGAACAATGTTGTGATACTGCAGTTACTTACTAAGGACGTCTAACCTGCAATGTTTAGCGTTTGCAACTTTGAAGCTGCTTTCTCATACAACTTAGTAAAGCTAGTTTTTACCCTCTCTCCATCAATTTTCAATATAGCGAACTAGTGAAAGCACGCTGGAAAGTTTTACATTGTCCAACTAATAGCGAAGTAATGCTAGAAAAGTTGCCAGTGAAAGACTAAAAGAGAAATTATTAAAAATATAGATATTTACAATATTACAATATTATATAGATATTACAATTTTAAAATTATGGAAAATGATTATTATGATTATTTATGATTTTATTAAATAATTATGATTATACATAATTTTATTTATGATTATTTATGATCTTTTAAAATGGGCGTCATCCACTTTTTCTTTTTGTATGATTTTTTTCTTTCTCAATAAATATATTATAATCAGTATAGTGATTTTTAACTTTGTTTTTTAACTTTTCAATACTACTTTTCATT